TCATTTCAGCATATCTCTTTGGTCACACAGGATGATTGATGCTTTTCTGAACTGCAGCAGTGTTAGCAAACAAAGGAAATAGTTTAAAAGATTATCAGCAAAGCACAAGTACAAGATAACTTTTAAAAAAAAATATTGCCAGTTCTGTATTTGCTGAAAAAAGAGAAATAGATACTATGCAATGTTCTGCACGTGTCCTCTAAGGAACAGATGTTTTTTCACAGCTTTGGGGAAAGGCTGTGACATACTTCACAAATGCACCTCCAAGGTTCTTATCCCACCTTACCTTCTCAGAACCATTAATAAAATTTCCATATACTGACAAATCTTTTAACTGGGTATTTTGTGATGTAGAAAGAAGAATTGCTTTTCAAGACCTTTTTTTTTTTTTTTTAGTTCCATACAAATATATTTTTTAATAAATATCCACAGGCATAGAGTAGCTTGTGGTTTTGGGATAACCTTTGTGCTTTTTCAGTTATCCAAATGCTACTAGAATGAAACTGAATGGAAGAGAACATCTTGTACTGCTCAGATGTAATGCCTGCCATGCCGTTGCTTTCACTTTCTGTCTTACAGCTACGGCAATTTTAGTGAAGAGCTCTTCGTTCTCAAAGGTTACACTTTCTGTATGGCAGGATTGTTATCTCCATCAGGGAAAAAACAAGTCAGAATTGCTAGAATGTTTTAGCAGTGAATAGGGAGGACTTCAAGCTCTTTATTAAACATTATGGAGTGAAAATATTTATATGTATATACAGATTGCAGCCATCACTTACATATTTTCTACTGTCTCTTTAAAGATGAATAGCTCTTGAAAATAATTAATATTTTTCTGCTATATCTTTAAATATAATTGAGTGCTGTGAGTTTCCTTCTGAAGAGTCTTGCATAAAAAAATCTTAGAAAAATACATCTTGAAAAGAATGTGTATATAGTTGAATTTCAGCATGGTTTACTGTGCCTTTAAGAATTCTGTGGTGACAGCTACCTACTCAATGCCCTTTGTGTAACTACTCCAAAAAATGTGTTTCCCATCCTTACGTCATTAGGACTCTTCTTTCAGCTGTGTCTGTCTTAAGAAACCAGCTTGCGTGCTTCACCCCAGGCTGCTGATGTGATCTCCTGGTAGAAAGCTCATTTTCAAGTGCAGCATGCAGTAGCAGTGTGATTCACTGGCCTCTTCCAGGCTCCATATTCCTAACTGGACTACACTGGCACCAGCTCCAGTAGATCCTATGCCTTCTGCTCTCTGCAGCACTCTTCCTCCATATCACACCTGCAGGGTTAGGACAGTTTACAGCTTGTTGTGGGGTAGCCTCCACCATATTTTTGCAGTTTCTAGTTGGAAAAAATAGGCTGAACTGACCACAGGACTAGCACAAACAGTGCAGTAAATAAAGCTTTGAAAAAGGTCAAAATAATCCCTCCATAAACCATGGCATCAGCAAATCCATGGGCCGTGGTTGTCACACGGGAATGTCCCAGTGGCTTGCCCCTTCAGACGTGTTGGGGGTTGGTATCTTGCATGCTTGGCACTTGTTTAGGAGTAATTTTATTGATGTCTGAATGTCCATCGATACATTTAAGCTCCCACAACCAAAAAGGCAAATGCCCCCTCTAAGAATGAGGCGGGTGATAAAAATGGAGCGAGAAAAGGGAAATTCATGGAGCTACCAGTCTTAATAGATTTTTAAGAGTCATAGTTAAAAATAGTGGTTCTTGAAGACTGGCTGTCTTAAGAATGGCAAGTGTTCATAAAATGATTTCCCAGCGGGTAGCCTGACTTCCAGTGTCTCAAGGAGCTCCTCTTTTCAGATAGGGCAGAAAAATAGTTTCTTAGGTCCCATAAGCAGGTGAATGTGTTTCTTGACAATTATTCTTCCCTTCCTCCACAATGGGACAGTGATAAACCAGAAGAAAAAACAAACAGGAATTATTTTCAACATAATGCCAGAAAGTTTGACTCCTGCCTTAAATACTCTGGGAGTATTAAGCATTTTCCTGTGTTTTCCCCAAAGAGATGCTGGGGTTCAGTACTATCCAGGTTTGAAGCTATGGTCTAAAAGCACAGAAGCTTTATTAGTAGTTTTGGCTTAAGGGGTTCCTCCCTGACCACCCCAGCTGCTCCTTCCCACTCCCACGCTGGAGTTTCTTCTTCTGTTCGTTCTGCTGTCACACATGTCTTTGAGCAGGATGAGAGCCACGGTCCAGGCTCAAACAGATGAAAAAGACCCTACAGAAAGAGGGGTTGCTTGTAAGCCTGCTAGGTTCCTGGTCTTGTTCAGAAAGCTGCCTATGCAAAGAGTAGCATTAGTGTGCAGCAAAATTGAGGTGGGACTGAAGGGTGATGGAGTGATGGAGTGCCAGGTGCTTCTTTGCCACTGGTGAGCTGGTGCTGCTCCTTCCCTCTGCAGCCCCACCTGACTCTGCTCCTCTCCCTGGCCACCCCCATCCATGGTCTCTCTAAGGTGTGGAGAAAGATGGTGTCAAGTGACCCATGGCAGGCATTAAGCCATTTGTCTCCCAGTTAACCTGAGTGTGAAGGTTCAGGCAGGCAAAGATAACCAGGTTTCTGAAGAAGTTTGCTTAGGCCAGTGGATGGGTACCCACAGCTCAGGACATCATGGTGGTGGTGAAGCTAGTGGGAACTGGATGCCTTGGCAGCTCTGAAAGTATTGTTAGAAGTCAACTTGCCCTCTGGTACAAAAAATACAGACAGCTGCATGTAGCTTCTTCTAGGTGTGAATGTGCAGGGAAGTGCAGGTTGACCAGGAATGGGAGATAGATGCATAGGTGCTTGTGGTTTTACAGCCTGCTCCACATTGTAAATGTTGTTGTTTCGTTCTCCTTAAAAGGGTGGACTGTTTCTGCTTTTTTCTTTCAGCTGGGTAAACACTGGAGAGAGGCTGGAGCAAGGAACTTGGCATGCCTGCTGTTTTGTACGGCTTACCTTAGCGTCTGGCTGGCTTTGTAGATTTCTTTTATAATTAATATATTCTGGTGGGTGGCGAAGCTGGCTTGGTGTTAGGTCATGAAACTTTACATGCCTTTGCTGCTTGTTTTGGAGAATTTCAAAGGTCTTTTCAAACTTGAATGATTCTTAATGTCAGGTGATTGATTCTGTACTCACTGAGGGATGGACTTCAGGTTCTCCCACCTGGAGCCATTGAGTAAGACTTTCAAGTGCACCTATTAACCCTGCTTATTGTAAGGCAGAACCTACTTTTAAGGCACTGCAGAAGTTGATGTTTCTTTCTGTACACATAAATCATGCATTTGTCAGCTCTGGAGAGGAGATATGGCACCTTCATTTCCTACAGGCAATTACTTGGTAGAGTTGACCTGATGTTTTCATCAAAAGGGTGTCGTTGATGTGCAACTGCAACTGCAAAAAAAACCCACTAAATTTTAGCGCTGTTGTGGTCAGTACTGTCCTGAGGCAGACGGGTCTGGGGTGTCTTCTGAAGACATCCAGCTTTATTTTTGGCATCATGGGGTCTTAGAGGAGCACTAGGAGGGCTGTTTTGATGAGCAGAAGCATAATGTGCTTGCCCCTCTGTGAAAGACATAGCCCCCGAAGATGCCCACTTTTCCCCCTACCTGAACATCATTGTGGGGTCATTTTTAGCTGAATTTACTTTCAGATAAATATGTCTTGGTAGCCACTCCTCCCTTTTCATAAGCCAAACTTCTCTTCTGATTACCTTGGATTAATTTGCCTTGATGTGGGTGATGGATGTGAAGGTGTGTGCTGACAGTTACAAGTACTAGTCCCAGAGGAGTCCCAGGGTGCTGAAAAGGAGATGAGCACCACACCACAGCATCTGCAGGGGAGCAGCTGGGGAAGCCCCCAGGGACGTGGGAGGGAAGAGACAGACTGGCTCAGCTGTGCCGTTTGGGGCAAAACCGGCTTCCTTGTAGTAGCGATTGTTGGCAGCTTTCTCATTTCCTGAAATGTATTGCTTTTGCACAAAGGCAGCTTCTGTTTCTCCCATGTTTGCCTGTCCCAAGTGGGATTTGTTGCTGCTGCTTTCAAGATGACTTTTCTGCCTTCTGTCTAATTTGTTTATTTAGATGGGTTTGAAATTTGTCTTAAGGGCTCATTACCCAGAAAATAAGTCTGACTGCTAAATGGGAACACTCATATATTGAGTGTTGAATCTGATGCACAGTGTTTCCAGGAATTGTCTCAAAGTGCATGCATACTTAAAGATACCTTACAAAGAAATGCATCTGTTGCACTACTTGTTTCTTCGTTGTCAGACAAATAAAAATTTACTCATGTTTTTAGTACATTTCCATTTGCATTTTTCAGCTTTGACTCAAACTGTAGTAGGGGAAGGTGGTACAAATCTCCTATACACCTTCTGCAACCTGGATGAGGGTTGCTGGTGCCAAGGGGAGGGGGCTACAGTGGCACGGCGGGCTGTTTGCCGCTGACCTGGGGGCTGAGAAAGCTGTACCCGCGTCACCCTCACCCAGAAAACAGTTTCCCTCTTGCACAGAGAGGGGATTTGTACAAGGGCTCAGCCACTGTTGGATCCTGGGGTTTGCTGTTTTTGTGTGTCTGAAGTGCACCTGAAAGGGAGCTGAGCAGTTGCAACCTTTTTCTGAGCTATTTTAGAAATTCATAGTTAACTGCAACAGGCTGCAGCTGAAGTGCAAGTGACCACTGCACACAGTAGTAAGCAAAATGCCAATAGGTTTGCTAAGAGATTAGTGTGAGCATGGCTGCTGGTAAATTCTCTGAACACATCAAAGAGCCTTATTGTTGCACTCAGGTTTTAATTCCTTATTAGTTTCAGGAAATACATGTCCTCAGAGCAATGAGAGGAAACTTTGAACGTTTTTCTTCCTCTTGTGCTGGGTGTGGGCTTGGTACTGCCTAATTGTTAGTTTGTCTGATGCCTGTACTCCCATAGGAAGTGAGAACAAACCCATTTACATTTGTGCCATTGCTGTGCGCTTTCAGTTTTTTTCTCTTTTTTATTTTTAAGATCAAAGGTGACAAGAATAGTGGAGCAGAGAAGTTAAGAATGATGCAGAGAACACAGATGTGAAGAACAGTGGAGAGAGGAAGGAGCTGAGCCCGGTGCAGAGGGGGCGAGAAGAAGCAGCAGCCTAAATGCAAGTACTTGAATGTGGAAATGATGGATTGCAGGCTGCTTAGCAGGCATTTAATGTGGTGCTTTAATGTGCATCTAGTGCCAGTTGGCGCTTTCAGAGTGGTGCCTGAGATAGGTTAATGTTTTTAAAATTTTCTGCCTCAGGGTCAAGACTTTGGACTCTTATGTCAATAATTTACAGCCCTCAACAGGGAACTGGCATCAAGGTCACGTGAGAGAGAGAGAATGAGAAAATGAAGTCAGCTGGAGTCTTAACTGAATAATGTAAGGTGGCGTGGTGCAGCTGAGGAGGCTGTGAAGTACTCATATCATAGCTGAACAGCACTGAAATGTAAAATAACAGCTAAAAAAATTAGTGACTGGATTGATCCAAGAAAGCTGAAAGGAGGGGCCAAACTACTCAGCCACAACCAAATGGTCTGATAAATTGCTGTGTTGTAAAATGTATTTTTCATAATTTTAGTCAAGTTTATGGGACAGAAACAGACATTTGAAAGCACTTTTCTTAGTAGATGCATCATTTTGGCCAGTACAGTGATGCCTCCAGCATGTGGATTTTCTTCTTTACATATTTTTTCTTTGCAAAAAAAAGTCTTGTGCAAATGAAAGTACGTATGCCAAAAAGAGGTATCCCCGGGGGTGTAATAGTTTTTCTTTGTGACCTCTGGTATCCCGCCTGTGTCAGCAGACAAGCTTTTGCCAATATCATGTGTCTTCTTCAGGTTAAGGTTTTCCGCATCAAGGTGCACCAGAAGTGTGTTTTCTGCCATGAAGAAGACTTTATTATCTCAGTTACTCTTAGGGGAGGCTTGCACACAGGTCTAAAATCACAATTATATTTGCAATTGTTCAATGCCTGCAAAGCTTTAATATGTCTGTACTGTGCAGAGGTGGGGGAACTGCCTGGGAGTTCTGCCTGGAAAACAAATAATCGTGTCCCTTTTTTCCTGCAGCTCCTTCCCAGGTGGGTGACAATGCCTGTCGAAAGAATGCGGATGCGGCCCTGGCTGGAAGAGCAAATCAACTCTAACAGAATACCGGGGCTGAAATGGCTAAATAAGGTAATGGGGGGTACATGCATGCACTGAAGAGGAACTTATAGCAGTGGCTGAGGTCTGAATAGGTAAATCAGCTCATTCCTGGTTTTCAAAGGGGTGACGTGGGGAGGAAGGGCAAAGCTGAATGCTTCCTGCTGAACCTGTTCCTCCAGCCTTGCCTGCCAGATCTGAGGCATCTTGCTTTGGTCTGGTGGATTTGTGGCTCCTTTGAAAGCATTTTCCATCGCTTTGTTGTTGGAGTGAGTGTTTCTGGAGACTCTTGATAGGTGTTTTGTTTTTTTTTTAAGCTGGGAACACATTGTTCACCAAGTAGCATCAGAAGGATGTGAACACAATGCTCTTCTGAGGTGGAAGACTATATTCTGAGTTAGACTCTGGATTGAAGCAATGATCTCCTGTTTCAGACTTGTGTGACTTCTTTGATACTTCTTAACCTGGCAGAAAATGGAGTAATTTTTACTGTGCTAGGCCCAAACCTTAACTCTTACTAAGTGCTCTAGACACTTCGAGAGCACAAGTATGAGCTACAAAATGTCAGTGCCCAATTTGAATTTATTTTAGTTGGTTCAGTAAAACCAAGGAGTGTATTTGAGACTTTAAATAGTAATAAACCCTGGAAATGTTGCATGCATTCTGTAGTATGCAGGAGACTAATTCACCACACTGAAAAGCATGAAGCTGTTTTGGCCACAGAGGCTACTTTATTATCAGAATGGGTGGAAATGCACAAAATTGGGTGCAGAAACATAGCAACTGCCACTCTGGTTAAGACACTAATCCAGATAGTCTGGTGTCCTCCCTATAGCGGTAGTAGTTGTGGTGCTCATTTTTAAAGCTGAAGAATGGCTATTGAAATTACTGCTTTTTATTTCAGCTTTCAAAGCTAGAAATGTTCCCGACTTTAAAATTATCAGGAGCCCTTTAAATTTCAGCTATGAGTCTTGTTTCTCAGGAACTTCCTGCATCAGTGACTCTCACATGCTGTGGCTGCGTAAATAAATATTGCTTTATCCTTTCCCTAGTTAGCTGCCCTGTGAATTTGAGTAGGTCCTTGTTCTTGCAAAATGGGATCACAGCTGAAGATGAAGAGACCAGTTTTTACTGTTGTCTTTGTAATTTGAGTCCCATGTTGGGGTCCTTCTCCTTGAATATCTCTACTTCCGTGTCAGGTTTCCTGCTGACAGTCCATATCTGCTGTCCTTTGCTGGGCATTCCCTCCCAATCCTGAAATAATTTCTCGGTAGGGCACAGTATTTCAGATTTGAGCACATTACTCTTAAATATGGTGTTGTCATCTATAGGTTATGTTCACGTAACCTTTTTTGGTATATCTGAGGAATTGTACTTGCTTCCTTTGCATTGTAAAAATGCTGCCGCTGTGCTAAGGGCTTCATTCTTCCAAATTCAGAACACCAGTCCATAAAGGCAGTTTGTCATGTTGTTTAATGTTTGCAGCCCTCTGATTATGTTGTTACAGCAGTTTCTGCCTTGTTCTTCTGGCATGAACTCTTTGCATGCAAGAGTCGGGAGAAGATTTTGTCCTTAGCATATTCTGTATTGACCGAGGCTTGTTTCACAAATAAATTTTTTGAATTCTTTTATTTTTAAAGAAAACCCTGGCTCCTGTCAGAAAAAGGATACCAGGATAAGTGGCCTGCCTTGAGGATTATTAAACTCTGATTCCCCACTTCTACCCTTGTATTTGGCATCAATCTGGATTGCCTTTGTTGTGTTCAACAGGCTAACTGCCCTTCTAAGCATTTCTGTTTAAAAATGTTTAAACATTCATTCCAACAATGGATCACTAAACCAAAAATACATCTATTTTTACTTTAAATCCTGACCATAAACAAAGGCATGCATGGAATCAATGATACAATGTCATATGTATCATAGCCTGTTCTGTACCTACAGAATCGACTTTGGAGGCTCTAGGATTTTGCAATTTGTATATTTTAATTAGAGTTTGGCAAAGGACAGTTAAGAGTTTAGAAAAGAAAGCGGGTCAGATTATCAAGAGAATGAAACTTGTGTGTGCATATCTTTTAAGGAAATAAGATTTAAATAGGAAAGGAATTACTACTGTTCTGGGTTTGTCGTTGGCTCTTGGGGATTTTTTTCTGACTGAAAAAAGAATTAAACCTCTCTCAGTTAAAAAGGACAAATCAGGTACAGCTGACTTACCTAATACCTTCCCCTACTGTCTGTTGATGACATTATACCTCCAGAACAAACCCCTTTTTTATAGAGCTTAAAAAATAAATACTTGTGTGCCATCCTGGTGAAAATGTTATCCTGCTGAATGGGAATTTCTTTACCTTCCCAGAGAGACAAAACTGGGAGGTGTGAAGGAAATGCCATAATTCAGTAGAGGGCAGAGGTGGTGTGAGAAGGGGGATAATAAGAGGTCAGTGTCCCTCATGGATCTGGAAAAGGAAATTAGAGTGGAAACATTCCGAGTAGATGTAACAGAGTCAAGAGGCAACCTGCTGCTTTGATGGATGCTTGGAGTACTATCCTCAAGAAGGATGCTGCTATTTAAGATTTGTCCTATGACTTGTGGCTAATATGTGCTCATTCACCTGCTCAGAGCAGTTTGCAATGATGTCCCCACTGGAGCTTGGTAGTAATTCCTGTTACGCTGCAAAAGTTTTGTGGGTTGTGTTTTTGACTTTAGGTGAGGCTAATTTTTTAACAGAAAAGTGAGACTCCTACACAAATGTCCAGTGCTGTACCAGTCAGCACATGCTTTTGAAGTCCAAGAGAAAGCAGTGATGAGCCCTTCCCTATTAAGGTCATCAAATGAAAAAGAATATAGGTAATGTTTGATAATGTGTGAAATAAATAATTAGCATTTAAATAGAAAGCATCCAGGTAAACTAGAGCAGAACACACAACCACGTGATACTGATGCACCCAGCACCCTTGTGGGATTTCAGAGAAGGTTAGATCCTTGATAGGGGATGAGAAAATCTGTAGTTTCTGTATTTATATATATGTATTATAAAATTATAATACACGTGGATTCTATTTTGTTATTTGTATTTAATTTGCTATAATACCTGTGCTTAAAGACATCTGGGATTGGGAAGAACTTTCTGTAATAAACAGAAGCACTGTAATGACCACTTAAACTGCTGTTGAGTGTCCTAGCACCTTCCTTTGAAACAGTGAGTGCAGTTGATGATAACAGGATACTGTGTCTGGAGTCTTGTTCGGTCTGCTATGTTTTGAATTATCATATGGAATATGAAATCCATGATATAACCTCCATAGCATTGTGTAGCATTGTTCAAACCTCTCAAGCATGAGACTTTTAAATCTGTTCAATTCTCAAAGTTCTTGTCGATAGAAATTGTTTTCTATGGAAGTATGATTCTTTTCTCCATGCTTATTTTAGTCTGTGGGAGGGTAAAGGCAGGAAAGCTTCTTCTACCTCTGCTGAATACAGTAGTGCTCTGGACCACAAAATAGTGGGGTTGAGGCTTCCTTTAGACTGTTTCTACTCGGGGAAAGAGATGAGCATCTCTGTAGGATTATTTACTTATATATAGGGGTAAGAGTAAGGAGGCAAAACGAGAGAAGTGATAGGACTAGATTAAGAGGAAGAGTGAGAGTGTGAGGATTTGAGGGGAATGAGGAACGTGTTAAATCAGTGCTTCCACCAAATTAAAGATGAAGCCATGCGAGAAGGGAAGAATGCAATTCCAAACAAGTGAATGTACATGAGAGAATGGATTAAAGACAAGAGTTGAAGGACAAAATGCAGGCTCAAAAAAAAGAAAAGATCACATGGGAAGGAAGGGAAATAAACCTAACCTTGACATTAGTGAAATATTAACGAGACAGACAAGGAAGAAAAGTGGTTGTTGGGGGAAGGGGAAAGGACAAAAGATTCATCTCACATGACCACAGATATCTACAATGCAGTCATTTAAAGGAGTGCTGCCTGTCTGGAGTTATTTGTAGTCAGTGTAGAGAAATAGACTCTTTTAGGGTGCAATTCAGTTGGCGTATCTCAAGTGGCCACCTCAGGAGGAGGGAGCATTTTGCCCTGGAAGTACTTTTCTCTTCCCAGACTGAGAATTGTATCTAAACCTGCAGAGGCAATTTATAGCACAAGATGTCTGCTTACGGAGACAGATAAGATGTATTCCTCCCAACAGGGGAGAAAAAACAAGTGCTGTGTAACAAACTCATTTTGTATGGCTTTGTAGAAAAGAGTGTGAAGAATTCTGAAGCAACTCTGTAGGTCAGTACGAAAGAATTCATTACCATGTTGTATGACATAAAAGCACATCTTACCCAGCATCCATTTGGCCCAGTATCCTGTGTGCTAAGTGCTTGTGGAAGGAGTGTAGGAATCCATGCTGTTCAAGCTCTGAAAGCCCTTAGGCTCTTTAATAGTCACCAGTTTACTGTCTTCCATGATCCCTTTGGGAATCAGTTTGTACTGCCACCATGTAAGGCATGCCCTGATTTAGCTACATATGTGTTAATTTAGAAAAATTTGGATTGCTTTAAATGCACTTCTCTTTGGGCTAAAGTTTCTGAACTAAAATATGTTCAAGTATCTTCAGTGCTACCTCTTCACATGAGTGTCTGGTGGTTTTTATCCCCACTAGAGAGATGTCTACAGTTGATACATTCATATGTCTGTTTGCTTGGCATATAAATTTATAAGATCTCTTTGCTGTGCTAGTATTTACTGGCTGAATTCTAAATCCCTTGAATTTGCTCTGTTCCTATAGTTGTTTAGTTTCAGATGTAATTTTTCTAATCATAAAAGTGCCTGTGCTGCCAAACTAGCCTTTGTTTGAATGTTTAGAAATGTGTAGTACTGCATGTTTTTTCCATGTGTCAGCTTGGAAAGCTGCCAGGCTCATCTTCCATGAAGTGGCTTCTGACTATTTCATACACTTGAGCTGTATTCTGCCTTTGGTGACGCCAGTGGATATTTTCCTGTTGACTTCAGTGAGAGTGACAGTGGGTTAGAAGGGAGCAAAACACTTGCAGATGCTGAAACTGTGCTTATAAATGAGTGACTTAAAGTCATCAGAAGATCCCTCAAGTCTGTCAGTGTTGGCATTTCCTGTTTGTTTTCCCTTCCAGGAGAAGAAGATTTTTCAGATTCCCTGGATGCATGCAGCAAGACATGGGTGGGATGTTGAAAAAGATGCTCCCTTATTTAGAAACTGGGCAATTCACACAGGTATCGAACTCATTTTCTGCAGGACAGATTTTCACATTGTTTTCCCTTTTAAAGTTACATTTTCCTTCTTCCTTGTCTTTGCTTTTCTAATGCAGAGAGTGAACTTAAGTTTCCAGATTTGTGGGAGGCTAAGTACTTTTTTCAAGGCCTACAATACTCTCCAGCTTTACTGAAGTGCCATAACTCATTTGCATTGATGAACACTAAAACTTAATTGATTTAAATGTTAACAACATGGGTTCAAAACTGTCAGAAGTAGAGCACAGTCAGCACTTTGTAGACACAAGCCCTTAGGCTTTTTATGCCTTTCTGTGGATTTGAGCCAGACATAATAAAGGTAAATGCTGTGCAAGCTTTTCCATGTTGTTGTGGAGTCACATCTGATCTGCAGCACCCTGGGTCTTTCTTGAGCACAAACTGTTCATCATGTGTTCTAGAAATGTGCATGGAAATGAGATCACAGCACTCTCCTGCAACCTCAACTATTGTTTGAATGCTTCTCATGGGAACCAAAGACTAATAGCTTGAAGCCAACCTATGTTGTTATTAACTTGCCTTAGGTTTTCAATCGCATGTCATATGTTCCTAACTTTCTTTTCTTGCTTAGGAAAATACCAATCAGGAGTAGATAAACCCGATCCAAAGACATGGAAAGCAAACTTCCGTTGTGCTATGAACTCCCTGCCTGACATAGAAGAAGTGAAGGACAAAAGTATAAAGAAGGGAAACAATGCCTTCAGGGTGTACCGGATGCTGCCGTTATCTGAAAGACCTTCCAAAAAAGGTAGATGGGAGAGCTTGTCAACGTCAAATGCTCCTGAGGACATTGTGTTGAGAAATACACCTACTGCAGATAGCTCAGTATGCAAGCTACCAGTGCAAGCCTGGCTGGCTGGGAAAGGACTGGAGCCCCAGGCAAGGAGCTTGGAAAGGGCACCAACCCTTCACCTAACAGGGGACAGCAGGACCAGTGGCCAGCTGGCTGGGGGTCGGGGCTGGCTGGGGGGCAGAGTCGGGCACACAGAGACTCTACAGGAGCCAGTGAGCAACGGGAAGACCCCAGACCCAAAAATAACTATTGAAATGGGTACTTAGACTGTAAGGGTATAAAAGTCCAGGGATTCCTTTGTTTAGGGTGCCTCCCCAGAGGTACCCAGGTTGAACTGTTCCTATTGCTGTACCACACAGTTATTGAATTAATTTTTTTCCCTCCTGAAAATGGATACCTGACACTCTGCTGCAGGAAACCTAGCACAGAGAAATTACTTTAACAATTACTACTATTTTGGAGCCTACAAAATGTGCCAGTTCTTCTGTGAAACCGAATGCTTTTATCCAGATGTTCCCAAAAACTTAGGAACAGCTGTATAAAAAATGGCCTACATCCAGTTAAGAGAAGAAGCTGCTTGAAGAGAGGATTAATGAGATGTGATAGCTCCAAGCTGTTGATGTTTGTCTACTAAAGCCGATGGAGTTATGTTCAGATTCTAGTCCCAGGTTTCCTTCAGTCAAGGAATATGATTGGGGAATATTAGAAATCAATGCATTTAACTCAATAGGACTCATTCAGAACACGGTGGCAGACATTGTGGTATCTTTTTTCAAGCAAGAGCAGAATTAAACTGGCCTCTGTCTTGAGCTGGGTGGAAGCAATACACTCTGCTCAGAATGTTAAACCATGAAACAGCATTGTTACTTACAAAGACCACGAGAAACCAAACCCCAGGTCATCATAATAGTGAAATGGGAAACTATTTGAATTCCCAAATTTAGGGATTAAGTCTCCTGCCTGCCAGGAGAGGACCTAACCACCAGACCAATCTCATGAGTATTTGATTTCTTTTGAAGTAGAAACATTGATTTATTTATGGCTCATTGGCTTTCTTATGGCTTCTTTACTGGTATATGGAGTAGAACAATGGCTTCCTTAGTCCTCTGGTATCCTCTGTTGTCTAGGATTTCAGATGAAAAGATAACCTGCAAACCAAATGCAGAGTGTTCCTATAAAGTCCAATTCCGTTTAGCTGTAGCTCAGTTTGCTATTTTCTTAGATTGAGAAGTGAAAGGCACAACTGCAGTTTAAGGTCAGTGTGACTGGAAATGATGAACCATGGAATTTTTGGGGCAGAATCGTACTGTGAAAGGGAGATCAATCTGCAAAAGATAGAACAATTGCTTTGAAACTGTTTACAGTCTCTTGTCAGTAGAATATTTTGTATGTTTAGGCATATTCCCCTGGACCATAACCTGTCTCTTTGTAGTAGATTCATGTAAGAACTACAAAAGTTCATCTTGAAATCTGAGATTCTGGAAATGGGTGTTGCAGCAGGAGAAGATTCTGCAGAAAGTCCAGTTAACTATAAAACCGACATATCTTGGGCCCCATATATTTTTTCACATGCCCTTTCTTCATGGCATGTGGCTAAATTTATGTGTGGGAGCAAAAGAATCTGGCTGCAAACATTTCTAATTTTCAGTGATACCTTGTATTAGAGATGGGAGAAATTCCTGGGACATGCCTGTCCCAACGTGGGGTAGAGCTGAGCATGTACCAGTAAGTCTGAGCTTCCACATCGGGGTCTCATGAGGTCAGAGCAGGGCAGCAACACTGGGGTCTGCCAAGGCACATGACATTTTGTAAAAGTCACATGCTGTATGGTTTTCTGGATTCTCAAGTCCAGGATGATTGCATAAACCACTTTTGCATGAATTGTAATATGTATTTCCCCACCAGGTTGCAACGATTTACAAAAATTTTGGTTGAAGTTTATTGTGATCTCTTGCCACATTAAATGGGTTAACAAACTCCCTTTTCCTGTAGCTGCAGTGAGAGTGTCAGAAAAGTGATGAGACATAAATTTTGATTTATTTTTTTCCCGTTAAGAGTATTTTTCTCCCCCTTCCTTCTTTATTTTTTTAACAGACCTTGTTGCTTAATTTGTCACTATTCCAAAGTTTTCACTTTGATTTTTTAACTGCAGTTGCTTTCCTGGGTCCTATAGTGGTTCTCTCTTGTAGTCTTTTAAAAAAGAAACATAAAGCCAGAGTGTTTAAGAGGAATTTTTGGCTGCCTGGACCTTAAAGGAGGGGTAAAATTAAGCAAAATGTGTTCTCCCTTTACCAGGATGTCCTGCCATTTTGAGGCATATTTTGAGACTATTTGTTGGTAAATATAGAAAGTGTGAAGGATAACTCATGGCACACAGAACTTTATGAAATTTTCCTTCTGTTGTTGCAGGAAAAAAAACGAAATCCGAGAAGGATGACAAATTCAAACAAATTAAGGTAAGAAGTGTCTGTTTAATAGTGTGAGAACTTGTGAAAACAGTCTGTTGCACATATTTTTTAATATACCCAACAGTATATTGTGGTGGGTATTTGCAAATGCTTGTGGTTTGGTTAAGTAGCTACAGTTACCCAGGATGTTGTTTTTTTTTTTTTTTAAATGTGAAGGCTGTTAGAGCTGTGACTTACATCATCAGTGGACATAACCCCTGTGTTACAATGCCTGGAGGTTGGAAAACTGGAAGTCTCAGCAATACACATGCCATTTGCTTTTCTATGTAAGGAGAAATACAGTAATTATGGAAGGAATGCTTCTGAACAATAGAGCTACCTTTTGGAGCAATTAGTTTCTGTGTGTAAGGCATTTGAAATTAATTTTCATTTCAGCAAGGGGGAGAAGTTCTGTGAAGTGCACCTTGTGATCATGTTTTGTCAGTTAGAAAACCTCAGTTGTAAAGCTCTTCAGCTGCTGCCTGAAAATTTGCTTGTTCAGAGCACGGGCCCAGACTGATGTTGCTTTCCCTGTGAAGCATGGTGCTTCCCAGCTTTCTCACCTCTGCCAAGGGCCTCTGCAAGGTGGTCAGTATTACACACCAGCAGGATTTAGTCCACCTTCAATTTTTCAAAAAAACCCAAATCTTAGAGGTTTCACACTTTCAGCCTTCAGTAAAATTTGTGTCCTTGGGTTGTATGTAGCGGCTGTGTCTGCAGTGGAAGGGCAGCTTGGTCCCCTGCTACCCGCTTCTGAAGGGCTGAGCACCCATGGGTTCAGACTCTGCAGCCACTGGCCAGGAGATGCTCTGGGCCAAGGGAGTCCAGAAAACTGGGAAAAACTCCTCCATTGAAATTGGGTTTGGAAGGCAGATGCTGCCCCAGCAGTTGTGACATGGAGTTACATGTCAGAATGCTATGACTTTTAAATTGTTTTAAAGGAACCAGTTTTTCACCATCCTGTCTGGATCATGCAGCCACATGTGCTTGTTATAAAGTGACTTTGATGGTAGCTGGTGTTCAGAGGGAACCAGTAAACTCCTTTGGTCAGGGCAGAGCAGTGTGTGATCCCTTCCAAAGCTGGCAGCAGTACTTTGCTATTCGCCTACTTTGGAATCTTTCTTTTGGACAAAATATTAAATATGTGAAAAGCTGTAGAAGCACTCAAACAATCTCATCCTCTCCAGTAAGATCAGTCTCACAGTCATTGCTGAGGGAGTTCCAGTGATACCAGGCAGATTAGTACATGAGGTGTTAGATTTAAGAGTAGGTGCCAGCGGGGTGATGCTTGCAGCTTTTGGGAGCACTTTCCTCCAGCTTCGTTGCCCTGAGCCTCACAGAAGCACTAGGGCAGGTGACACAGGAGCAGTGAGCTGAGCTGATCGTGTACACCTGCCAGTGGTACCTACTATGAGCATACAGCTCACCAGCCACCAACTGTGGTATGGCCACTTCTTCTAAGCTTTGAGCTGCGGCTGAGTAGTGTTCTTGTCTGTTCCCCCTTGCTCTGACAAATGTGTGCACCAGCTGGTCTCCAGGTGTGCCTGGATTTCAAAAGAGGTGCTCCTTCCATGCTCAGCCACTCTTAAGCTATTGAATGTTGAAGGCTGTAACAGTGGAGAATGGTGGTGGATGAAATAAAGCAAATGCACATTTCTGAGCACTGATAGCTGCTTATAATTGCTTTGCTTGATGATGTGACTTCCTGAGATCCAAGTTGCATGGGTTTTTTTTGAACGCTTTACAGTTACCCTGAAAAATCTCTTTAGTGGAGCTGAGTGGGAGGCTGCTCCACGATTTGCCTGGTAACTGCAATGGGGTAACAGCAGCAGAGGGAGAAGCTGAGGATGTGAGCACAGATCTGCGAAAGGACTTCAGCATAGCAAGAGCCTCGCAGTGAGCTTCCCGTTGTTGTCACTGCCGGACCCTGTGGGCACCCACAGCAATCCCCTTGGTGGGAGTGAAGACACCCTCCCAGACCTTACTGAGCTTGAGCAGGGTGCTCAGGGCACTCACTGCATGTCCCCGTGGATATGAAGAGTCCTGGACCTTACCAATTCCCCGCTCCACATTAGGAAAGGGAGGCTGTGAGCAGGTCTCCCACCTCTCAAATAGGTCTCCTACCATTGGGATTTTGGGCAAACAGAGGCACTATAATTCATTAAATTCATTACAAAATGAATTCTCATCAACGAAGTGTCAGAGCAGCCCAGGTAAAAATAGTCTCTTTCCTTTGAAACAAAGGACTGAACTGGGTTTAATTTTTACTTTATCCTAGATGTATCCTTTTGACCATGCAGCTTCACATTGAGAGACATTTTTTAAATCTTAGCAACACTTTTCCCCATGCATTTAGCTTAGGCTAAACATCTAGATACTGGAAATTTACCAACTGCACCAGTATCCAAGCCTCTTTGTGGATCTGGCACCACCACCTGAGTTCCAAGATGCACATTTGTTTCTGAAGCTTGAAAGGGGCTACTAAATAAACTTCTCTGTAACCAGGCCTCAGTAAAGTTGAGCAAGGTGCTGCGTGTGCAGCGTTTCCATGGGGGCTGCTGTGTTTGCTGTGTTGCACAACGACAGATACTCCACAGGGTGACAATGTGCAGCCCTAACATGTCTCTGCAGTCATGATTCTCAATGGATCAATAGCCGCTAATTTTATATTTTCCAGCTCTCCAGGTCTTTGACCTGGGGGTCAACACAACTGGCATGGCTCATCAAAGACCAATTTGCCATTAACACTTTGCACCCTTCTGATGTGCAGAAGAACCTTGGGACAGGGTGCATATGTTTACCTTGCTTAATGGCTGGGAAGGTGCTTGTGACAAAGTGACAGCTCATTTTGAGTGGATCACAATCACAGCATGTGACATCCAGGAAATACCTGTCACAGTGTCCCCAGTTTCTTGTCCCAGAGATAACAGTTCATACAGTTAGTACTGTGAAGGGCTCGCATCTCAAGTCCTGAGGCTCACCTTTGCCCTGCGTTTGATGAAATGCTTTAGAGCAGTGAAAATGAGCACAGCATGGCAGCAGATCCATGGACAGCTCCGAACCTCTCTGCTGGTGTTTCTGGCTCAGTAGCAGGATAGAACTATCCTTGCAGGGCCAGCCCAGAGTAAGAACACACAAGACTTTAGACTTTGTAACCAATAACCATGTAAGGGAGACAATGCCAGACAGGAAGTTGGACTTGTAGATAATCCTTTAAATGTGTTTATAGCTTTTTAAAGAAATCCTAAGTTTATGGAATTAATTTTTTTGGTGTCTACTCTGAGGGGAGTTTTTAGATTCCCATTCAAGTGTACCAGGCTTACAGGAAAGCTCAGTCTGTGTAGAACAAGTGACATTTTCCCAATGCTGTTGCCCTGTGGTAATGTTTATGATGTACTCTAAAAGGCTGTATTTAGTGTAAACACTTTGGTTTGCTTTCAGGCTTGCTGTAGAGAAAAGCTAAGCCTAGAATTTAGTAATTGCTGTACGAAGTTAAAGCTTCCTTTCAGACAGCAGGAAGAGATAGAGCATTTTCGGAAGGGAATGAGGATGAAGATTGAGTACCGTTTTAAAGTGATGTTTCTTCCTTGTTTGTTTCAAATGGTAATCTCTTGTAGTAAATAGCATACTAATTCCTTGCTCTCAGAAGACTCACTGTTAATCTGAAAATTAAAAATAGCTTCCGTTTCAAAGCACAAGATTTGGAAATGAAGTAGACTCTGTCTTCTCAGAGAACCAAAATATTGTTTCTAAGACAGCGTTCTGCAGAGAGCAGGAGGTATATGGTAGGTGGAAGTGATGGGATTTATTACTGTCTCAGAACAAAGAGTTGAACTGTCTCCAGCCTCCTGAAATAAAGCAATTCTGACCCAACTGTACTGCTTCCATTCTAGCAAGAGCCAGTTGAATCATCTTTTGGGATTAATGGGCTAAATGATGTCACTTCTGACTATTTCCTGTCCCCCAGTATAAAAAATGAAGTTGACAGTACCGTGAACGTTGTAGGTAAGTACTCCTATGCTTTTCTTAAACACTAGGCACTCCGGTGACTTCAAAAACCTTTTTGACTTTGCCAAACTCATCTTGGGGTGGGTAAGAATTCGTCAGGTATTGTGGAAAAAGATACAGTGCAGATGACCTGCTTGTACCCTGAGGGTGTTGCACAATATTGGTTTCTCCCAGATAAAAATTAACTCTATATGTGTGTGCTTTCACCCCCTCCCCCCCTTCACTACACTCAATAAAAAGCTGGTTGTTTCAGAACCAAGAAAGGTGAAATAAAATATCTGGAACAAAACTGTAGTAATTATAGTGATTCAACTTTAAAAAACCAAGTCTATCTAGGATGTATGTAATTTTCTTTATGCTGGCATTGTCTCATAAAATACAGATTTAAATTTGGGAGATTTTCCAGTGCTTACCTGGCATTTCACAAAGCAAAATACACAGATTTTCCCTGGGAAAAATGCCTGCCACTTTTCTTTTTCGAAAACCTGTGTCTAAGGATAGAATTCAGGAACGGATTGTATGTATAGACATGTGCATTCATGTTTATTTATCTCAGTTCATGCAGGAATAGATGCTATCTTTTGCCTTTTTCAAAATTAGTATACTGCTACTTAACAGAAGAATTTCAAGATCTATTGTATTTCATTGCCTACATGTTTTTCCCCTCATGGGTCTAGAAAAAAATGTACTGTTTCAACAACACAGCATTGTGTTTGTACAGAATTTGGCCCTATGTTCCTTTTGAAATTTTATGTTCAGTGAAAGAATATAGTCTTTCCCTTTCTCTTAGATAACTGTGGATTCAGATTAGCCATCCCCTGAGATGGCTCCATCCCTGTGCATTCTTCCGATCTAACTAGTGGCTTTCAGTTCTTTGGTGGATTAAAATGAATACACTTGTTGTGTTTTCATACTGCTGGGATCAGAGTTGTACAAGACC